GGGTAACTTTTCTTACCTGGTCCAGGTGATATTAGTATTCCCCTTGGATTTTTCCTACAAAATATTTTTTTTTTTTAAATCACATGGTATCAACTTAATCAGGTTTAAGGAGTAAGAAAAGAACACTCCTCCAACAGCATGTGCATGCTAGCTTACACTTGTTGGTGTATAGGTCAAAATCTGCCTTAATGGGATTTAGCATGGAGTGGTATTATGGAAAGTGATGTGGCCGAGGTCGACTAATAGACAACGGGGCTCGTAGCCGAGCGGTCAATAACGGCCAAGGTCAAGTATCAAGGACGGTACTAACGGCTAGTTTTTGTAATAGGATATTTAAGTGAATATTCTCAGTACTGGAACTTTTTGGGTTGACTAGGGATATGTCCCATATAAATAGAAAAAAAGATAAGGGGAAAGGAGGGTAATATTTTCTGATAAGAACACTTTTTGGGAAGAAGACTCTCTGTAGAAAAGATACAAACACTACCTTTCTAATAAGATTCTACCATCCATTATTCCATACTTTTCCATCAGATCCGAGAATAGTTCCAATATTCGAGGATTTGTCTCTCACTCATCACTGTCAGAAAGAAGAATCCTCCACCTCATTCAATATTGGGTGAATCATTCCCCTTATTTACGTTAATACCATTTATTGTTATTTATTGCTTGATATTCTTCCATCATTACTCCTCTTGAAATATTAAATGCACACTGCATTTAATTCCTCACCAACACTATCTTACGTTATTTGTGTTAGCTAATTGTAAATCCAGGGATATTATTATCAACTAGGCTTAATCCCTCATTATATAAAATTAATTAGTTTAACCGAAGATTTACACTTTTTGGTCAAACAATTTGGCGCTGTCTGTGAGGATTTCCTAGTTAAATTTTTAGTTTCTTTTAGATCTATAACTAGCACAGTTTACAAAAAAAAAAAGCAAAACTCCTTTTTCCTTGTACACGCGGATCTGACATGGCAGGTAATGGAGAAGAAAGAATGAAGGCAGTGGCCGATCTTACCACCAGACTCTTGAACACCATCAATGAGGTTTCTGAAACAGAAGGCGAAGATATAACGCCCAACGCCTCCCCCAGGTGAGGTGGGTCGCCCCTCCCTCACGGCAGTATCACAACATCTCGCGGTAAATGAGCTTCCACGTCCACGACGGAAGAGGCGCCACCAGCAGTGAAAAAACTACTTAAGGCTTGGCTAACAAACACGCTAACCAGCATCCTCGACAAGCCCGCCCAGAAGGCAACTAGAGAAAACACAAGGACTAGCATTACACCGACAACGGCCGAGCAGCACGGCCCTTTCCCTCCAGTAACAACTATCACTCACAATGTTAATAATGTAGGTGACGACACCCTCACAGCCATTCTGAGAAAGATGGAAAAAATGAAAAATGAGAACAAAATGCTTCGGGACCAAATGAGAGAGCACCAAGAAAGAGTCGACAAAATACCGGGTGCCACAAAACTCTTGCCAAAAAGATATGATGGTCGGTTCGTTGAGCAACCCTACAGTGATGAAGCTGCCCCGCATACCATACCCAAGACCTTTAAGATACCGCCTTATCTGAAAATATATGATGGTACGACCGACCCCGAAGATCATGTGACTCACTATATCACTGCGGTAAAAGGCAATGATCTCTCCAAAGAACAAGTATCCTCCATATTGTTGAAAATGTTCGGCGAGACCCTCACTGGAGGAGCATTAACTTGGTATTCACAACTGCCCGCGCGTTCCATCGAAACGTTCAAAGAGATGGCCGACAAGTTCGTAACGGCCCATGCTGGGGCCAAAAAGGCGGAGGCAAGAGTGAACGATATATTTTCCATCAAACAATCGCCCGGAGAGGGATTGAGGAACTTCCTCGCTCGATTCAACCGAGTAAGAATGACCTTACCGAATGTATCGGAAGGAATGGCTGTAGCAGCTTTGTAAAACGGGCTGAACAGGAATGGCTCAAGGGTGACCAGAAAATTATTAAGTCGGCTTATGAAATATCCTCCAACAACTTGGGATGAAATACACAACGCCTACTGTGCCGAGGTCCGTGCAGACGAAGATGACCTGAATGGGCCAACTCATCGGTTGACCTCGGTGCAGGCCGAATCCAGAAAGGATCGAAGAAATGATGCCAGGAGGGATCTTGCAGCTCCACGGTCCAACCGAGAAAGGCATCAGCCATATATCAGAAGCGCCGTCATACCCCCCTCCCGCCACGAAGAGGGCCCATCTAGACCAAGGACAGAGACTCACCGGAACGAGAGAGGTATGCCCCCTTTATTATCCGCTCACAATTTTTGTGTGTCACCCTCAGAAATAATCTACGCATTGGAGAAGCTCGGACCAAAAGTAAAGTGGCCACAAAAGATGAGGTCAGACCCAAGCACCAGAAAGTCAAACGCCCTCTGCGAGTTCCACCAAGAGCGAGGTCACAAAACTGAGGATTGCATCGCCATAAGGCAGGAGGTCGAAAACATGCTTCACCAAGGACACCTCAAAGAATTGCTGAGCGACCGAGGAAGGACAAACTTTGCCTGAGGACGTGAACAGCACCAGGGACCGCCGAAACCACCCTCACCGACTCGCACCATTCAAATGATCATCGGGGGCGGCGACGACGCTTCGATCAACAGCGTAAAGTTCACCACAACCCACAAGCTCAAACGGTCGATCACTCACAAACGGTATGACGAACTCGAAGAAAGTATCATCTTCGACAAGTCAGATACCCACGGTTTGGGTTTTCCTCACTATGATGCCCTTTTTGAGAAGTGGCATATCAAAAGAATACTCTCAACACCGTACCACCCCGCGGGAAACGAGCAAGCGGAATCCTTCAATAAATCAATGCTGAACATCATGAAGAAAAAGCTTGAAGACGCCAAGGGACTATGGCCGGAGTTATTACCAGAAGTGCTTTGGGCCTACCGTACAACGCCGAAGACGAGCACAGGAGAGACGCCCTACTCATTAGTCTATAGGACTGATGCGGTAATACCAGTCTAAGTCGGAGAGCCCCGTTTGAGATATTCCTATGAGAGCGGGCCGAGGAACAATGAAAGCAGAAGGCAAGAGCTCGATGAAATCGAAGAACGGAAAGATATGGCCTACAGAAGGATGATCGCCCAAAAACAACAGGCAGAACGCTATTATAACAAAAGGCCAAGATATGACCACTCAAAGTCGGGGACTACGTGCTCAAAGCCAAAACACAAGCAAGCAAAGACCCGCGGGAAGGCAAACTGGGAACAAATTGGGACGGTCCGTACAAAATCACGGCAACAGCAAACAAAGGTTCTTTCCAACTAGATCAATGGAAGGGAAACTACTACCAAACAACTGGAACATCACACACCTCAAGTACTTTAACTTTTACGAAAAAGCGTTCTCCAAGTCGTACTCTTTTTCCCCTCACTTGAGTTTTGTCCCAGTTGAGTTTTCTCAAGAAGGTTTTTAGCGAGGCGACAAGGGGGACACTTCAAGTTGAAATATGAACGGAAGAAGGCACCGGACGGTCAGTTCATTGCCTAACCTCTCAACACGCCTCCAGGTCGCCCAATGAAGGGACTAGATAGACTGGGATTGGAATGCCAGCCCGGAAAACATGTAAATTTCTCAAAGTATATGAGCAAAACACAAATGTATGAAGTCCGCCCATACTTTCGCCAGAGCAACATTGCCTCAATATCTACTCGGCCCCCGACCACAAAAGTACGAGTTACATTCGACCTCGTTCGAATCAACACCCGCTCGGCCCCCGGCCACAATTAAGTAAGTTATATTCGATCTCGCTTGAATTAATTCACATTCGACCTTGCTCGAATTAACTAAGTACGGGTTACATTCGACCTCATTCGAATCAACACCCGCTCGGCCCCCAGCCACAATTAAGTAAGTTATATTCGACCTCGCTCGAATTAACTCACATTCGACCTTGCTCGAATTAACTAAGTACGGGTTACATTCGACCTCATTCGAATCAACACCCGCTCGGCCCCCAGCCACAATTAAGTAAGTTATATTCGACCTCGCTCGAATTAACTCACATTCGACCTTGCTCGAATTAACTAAGTACGGGTTACATTCGACCTCATTCGAATCAACACCCGCTCGGCCCCCAGCCACAATTAAGTAAGTTATATTCGACCTCGCTCGAATTAACTCACATTCGACCTTGCTCGAATTAACTAAGTACGGGTTACATTCGACCTCATTCGAATCAACACCCGCTCGGCCCCCAGCCACAATTAAGTAAGTTATATTCGACCTCGCTCGAATTAACTCACATTCGACCTTGCTCGAATTAACTAAGTACGGGTTACATTCGACCTCATTCGAATCAACACCCGCTCGGCCCCCGACCACAATTAAATAAAAGTTACATTCGATCTCACTCGAATTAACTCACACTCGACCTTGTTCGAATTAACTAAGTATAGGTTACATTCGACCTCGTTCAACACACATAAACCAAGTTTTTACGACTAAAGCGACCAAAGTGAAAAACAAAAGAAAAAGGCATACAAGCCCGAACAGAAGGAAAAAAGTCAGGTACGAGCAGCGAAAATGGCATTTCATAAAATATATTCTTTACAAAGGCTAGAACAGATGCCCAAAAAAATATGTACAAAACTTACAAGCAAAAAGAAAGAAAAACAACTACTCGCCACCTAACCCAGCAACGTCATCTATCTGACCGCCTAGGTCATCTCCACCCGCCTCTCCGCCAGTATCGTCGCCACCGCCTTCAGAATACTCATCCTCATATCAGGCATCTTGTTCGATCCCGTCCGCGTCTATGTCCTCCTCGCCATCACCAGCCTCCGGCGTAGCATGATCATAGCCACAAGCAGTCGAGCTGAGCGTGCCTTAGCGCGAGCATCCTTGAAGTCGGCCTCAGAAACCTTCCCCACCGCTATCAAGTCCCTAAATATATCCCGTTGGGCCTCGGCGTAGATCCAGATCTCATACAAATCCCGCGGAATGTCAGGAAAAGCAGAAGAGCGAGAAGATGACGGCTGAGCCAATAACTGGGACTTCTCGACTTCAAGGGCGACAACTCGTTCATTAAGGCCCGAAGCTTCTTTCTCTAACTCCCCTATACGCTCGTCAAGTCGCTCCTCTCTGAGCCTCACCGTCTCCAAATCACTCGCCCGTTCTGAACGAAGAACGCTGATTACGACCTCTGATGCCTCTACTTGCCTCAGAGCCGCCAACCGATCCGATTTCGACTTCTCCAAGTCCGCTATCCTCTCGGCGAGCTCACCACCCAGAGCATCCGCCCTGATTAGACTTTCTTCGAGCTCGGCCCACAGCGAGATCACTTGGGCTTGAAGGTCGGCGCATTGGGCCTCGACTCCCCTGCTCACCTCGAGCTCCCCTTCTTTGTCCTTCAACGCCCCCTCAAGCTCACTACATTTTCCGATGACCTTCACCAATTCGTCATCCTTCTCCTTTAGCTCGTCTCGGAGAGCCCAGAAGTTCCTACTCCCACCGAGCCGCATGCAAAGCTCGCGGTGCTTATCATGATACTCGCGATATTTCCGCTCGACGAGAGCTTTCGATCTCCAAGATCAAGGTCTGAAAAGAAAACCAGAGCGAGTAAGAATAAAATCGGATTCAACATGAACATACAAATAAAATACCCCTTACCCTAAGAGCAAGACCGGCTATGCTCCTCGACAATGTGGAGTCCTTCAGTTTCTCGAGGGTCTTACCCTCCACGTCGGAACAGAAGGGACCAAGAGAAGGGACCACGTCCTCCGTATCAACTAGTAGATCCCGGTCCAGAGGGATCGCAAATGTCCGCGTGGTTCCCTCCAATCTCACCTCGAGCCGGGTGAGTCCTTCTCCCATCATCCCAACCTCCTCAAGGTCCATATCGGAGCCCGTCTCGTAACCATCCTCAGCACCCCCCTTACCTCTCTCATCGGTAAACAAGGTGGGAACATCAAATGGCCGCGAGGACGATGGCACATCTCGCCGCACAGTACCCAGAACCTCCACGGACGCTCCACCAGCTCTGACGTTGGCATCAGGAAGGGGCACACTCTCTGCGGCTTCCGCTGATGGCAGGACTTCAGACGGAAGATTTGCACCGTCTTCGGGCACAACGGAGGCCGGCTCGCGATCATCACTTGTAGAATCTACGGTTCGGATTGTCCCATCGCTGACGTCCACCGACCTCCTTTTACGGGGGACCAAATCCTCCTCGCTCGGTGAAGACTCCTCATCTATTAAATGAAGAAAGGGAGAGGCCGGAGTCGCTGGTACTGAGGCCGCCCATGGTCGAGCCAATCTAGCCGAAACCGGAGGCCGAATAGAAGTGGATGGCCGCGCAAACTTGGTCGCAGTCACAGCAGGGGCGGACCTCGTCGTAGTGTTCATCTGGCGAAACGCAGGAGTAGGGGGCTTCGACCTCCTCGAGGATCCCCGGGCTAAAAACAAAAGAGAAGAAAAAGAAGATTAAGAGGTCGATCCCCACAAAACAGTAAGAAGCAAGCGACCAGAAGGCCACGACAATAAAGATTCAAAACTCACCGGTCGCTAAAAGCTTGGGTCCGAACTTCTTGATAAAGGCCGACCATTTGCAAATTTCCACTGTGTGAGGCAAGACCTGGCTAACCCAGTAATGAATATCCGCAACCAAATGAGGGGGCAAAGTCTAATCTGAACGAGGAAAAGGCAGAGTGTTAGGCTACAATCAAAATGAGCAAAATAAGCGCTTGGTAAAAAATACTTACGGGCATAATTCCATGCCTCAGGAAATCCATTCGCATTTGACACCACGTACTCGGTTTTGACGTAGAAGTAGCTAAGCCAGAATCGACGATTTGCTTTATCGTCCATCTTCACTACCAAACTATTACTTCTTCGGTGACGAAGATGCAACATCACCCCCCCTATAGAAACTGGGCGCGAAGAGGTGCATCAGGTGGCGAAGAGAGATCCCGCGGCCAGCCAATTCCGCGTACTTCGTCAACATGCGGATGAGTTTATAGATGTAAGGTGAAAGTTAGGCCAGGCAGACGCCGTAGTAGCGGCAAAATTCCTCTGCCAATGGGAGAAAGGGAAAAGAGTAGCCCACATAAAACGGATACACATAGAATGCGCAGTATCCGGGGCGATGAATCTGCACCATATCGCGACCAGCCGGGACCAGATCGATGTGAGCCGGAATTTTGAACTTCGCCCTGAAATTAGTAAGGGAAACCGCATCCATCACTGATTCCGTGACCTCAGGATCGTCCTCGAGCGGTTTTGAAAAGTCAGATCGAGCCTTCTCGTTACGGAGAATTATTTCCTCCACCATAGGAAAGCTTTCATCCTCCGCAACAATAGCAACTCTATCGTCATGGGGAGGCATGCGCACTGCCAAGGGAATAGGGTTAGGTACCCCCAGAACTGGAAGACACGTTAACCATCTTTTTTTATGAATAAAGAAGGTGTAAACAAAGAAGAATCAAGAGTAGCGGGAGCCACCAGAATCAGTGAAAGCAAGAATATGGAAGTAAGATCAAAAGAGAAAGGATTCTGAATGAGGAAGGAAGAAGAAGGTATGAGGGTCCAATATTTAGATTGCAAAGAGTAAGGCAAAGGATTTTGTATCCCAATTTATAAGAGTTCAGGCATCAATATCAAGAAAGCAAGCCGTCGTTACCCAGCTCAGGAATCGAAGCGGCAGAGGCATGGGAAACGATGCAAGGTATCGGGAAAACGCGTAATAACTCTGAAACGACGTGACCCTGGGTTGCGGCTCACGGAAGGCCACGTTTCCACCCCGTCTGAAACGCTACTACTCGACCTGCTCATCTAAACTTCTCAACCATAACTAACAGAGTCTGCTCAACGAGGTCGCCCATGGTCGACATCAATAAGCGGAGGGACTAACTGTATAGGTCAAAATCTGCCTCAATAGGATTTAGCATGGAGTGGTATTATGGAAAGTGATGTGACCGGGGTCGATTAGTAGACAGTGGGGCTCGTAGCCAGACGGTCAATAACGGCCAAGGTCAAGTATCAAGGACGATACTAACGGCTAGTTTTTGTAATAGGATATTTAAGGGAATATTCTATTGAATATTCTCGGTACTGGAACTTTTTGGGTTGACTAGGGATATGTCCCATATAAATAGAAAAAAAGATAAGGGGAAAGGAGGGTAATATTTTCTGATAAGAGCACTTTTTGGGAAGAAGACTCTCTGTAGAAAAGATACAAACACTACCTTTCTAATAAGATTCTACCATCCATTATTCCATACTTTTCCATCAGATCCGAGAATAGTTTCAATATTCGAGGATTTGTCTCTCACTCATCACTGTCAGAAAGAAGAATCATCCACCTCATTCAATATTGGGTGAATCATTCCCCTTATTTACGTTAATACCATTTATTGTTATTTATTGCTTGATATTCTTCCACCATTACTCCTTTTGAAATATTAAATGCACACTGCATTTAATCCCTCACCAACACTATCCTGCGTTATTTGTGTTAGCTAGTTGTAAATCCAGGGATATTATTATCAACTAGGCTTAATCCCTCATTATATAAAATTAATTAGTTTAACCGAAAATTTACACTTTTTGGTCAAACAGTTGGAGCATAAATATTGTAACTATACTATAACAGCTTGACAAAAAAGAATTTAAAATTAGAAGTAACTTTTTGTATTACTTTTTCAGTTCATGCACGCTCAGCTCGTCGTTACGATAAACCTCGAAATTGCATCCAAGCTCTCCCATATACTTCAAAAAAAATTATTAACAAAAACCAAAATAATAATTTCTACATTTCTTAATATTTCAAAATCAATATTAAGCTGCAACTTCAATACGCAGACCTTATCCTTGTTCGAGAGAGTAGAGAAGTTGTTTCCGATAAACCCTCAGCTAGGCCGCAACTTCAATATATTTCAAAATTATCAACAAAAAAAGAAAAGAAAAAGAGCAAAATCAAGACAAACTAAGATAATAATTATTTTCTTAACTTTTTAAAATAAGAAATAATTTTATACATTTTTCAATGCTCTAAAATCAGTAGCCTTTAAGATACTTCAATATTACCAAGCAAAATTAAGAAAAACTAAAATAACATTTCACATATTTATCAATGTTCAAATATAAATAAGAAAATAAACATTTCTCAATATCCTAAAATCATATTATTATTTGGCATACCTGACAGAGATTATAAGTGAAGCTATCATAATTATCAATTACGATAATCGGACTCTTTGTCTGTTCATCATTATCCGATAATTCAACACAAGTAACGGAACTATTCTGCGATACAACAGTGAAACGTGTCGTTTCGAGCCGGTTTTTGCTTCTGATTCGGGGAAGGGAGCTGCCAGACCCGGAGAAAATTGCAAAAGCTAGGGTATTTTGTGAGGATGAGGCGAGATAGATGTGTTTTTGATTTTAGTGTGAATGTCGGGAGATTGTAAAAAGAAGGGAGGGGCGATAATGCCGGCCATAAGAGATTGCTGAGATGAGTGAAACGCCGGCGGTTGAGATTGTGATCGGATGCCGGAGATCTAAAGCGGAGGCAATGGTGAAAGGGTGGAAGTTTTTTTTTTCCTTTCGAAGAGAACCGGAGGCGTTTATAAAAGCGGGCTTCATATACATACTAACTTCTGGAAAGCCGTATCCAGCTAGGAATTGAATTAGAGTCGCTACTACCGGCTACAGCTTACATTAGTATTTCAAAAATTTCCCCAAATATAATTCTGTAATATGTACAAAAGTAGCGGAGACCTTATTTACAGAGTTGTATTGTTTTGAATTGTCTGGCTAATTTTTAAATAATATACCTGTGAATGATTATCTCTGCACTTGTCCCTAATTTATTTCTGTTACTTTGCACGTGATAGCCAATACATGTAAGGTCATGCATTGGCAAAACTTCGCTCTTTCCTAATGTTTCTGAGGTCTATAAATTGAGTTTACGGGCATGGCAGTCGAAAGCGTCTGTGCCCAAATGTTTGCTGATTGTGGACTCCTTTATTTTATTTCTTTTTTAATTTCTAAAATAAATGGAGGGTGTTGGAGCCCTAGAGAATTTTTTTTATATATTTGGTATTTAATTCACTTATGAAATTGATTTCTTATGTGTATACATGAAAATTTTGTTCTCTTACCTCGATTAAATTTACAAAAAAATATGTATTTCATAAATTTATTATTTTCTTTCATGACTGTCAAATTGACTAGTATCAAATAAAGAAAACGTGGCGACCAGCCGGAATTTTACTTCAGATTCTGACGAGGCAAAAATTTAAAAGAATTTGTGTAAATCTCCCTATTCATAGTAGGGAAAGAGAAAGGCCCAACTAGAAGCCCAATTTGAGTCCAGATGAATTGATTTGGGAAAGCCCAAATATCTCTGTCTACAACAACAGTTCGGAATCTTCGGACCCTCCTGCATAGCCCGATTCACTTTTCGGAGCAATATTTTTCCACCTTCCGGTGGAAACTTTCAGAGTGTACGTGAAAGCGCAACAATGGCGTTTTGGTGTAGAGTGAACAACTCCAAAATCAAAACCCTATCAATTCACCTGAAAAGGTCTTATTTTCAATGCCAAGGTTCCAATTCGTTCATTGCCAATGCTTCTTCACACACTTCAGTTCGGATTCTCAGTAACCCTAGCTTAACTATCCAGAAAAGTCCATTCGAATTTGCACAAAGTGTCAGGTTTTTCGCAGCACCTGTACAGGTAAGCTAAGCAATTAAGATCACGTAATTATTTTATGTCCATTGATAATCATGCGTGTAGTGATGAGTGTAACTGATTTTGCAGGTGAAAACGAGGAAGGAAGAGAAGGATTCGAGTGGGCCCAGATTGAATCACGAAATCAAAGCAGATTTTGTTAGGCTTGTCGGTGATGAAGGTGATTTTATAACTCTTCTTTGTACTTTCTCGGTGTTTTTTTTTATTTGTTTCATGAAGAAGGAAGGTCGAACTTTTTTCAAAAAACACTAGGTGATAGCTTAAGCCTTAGTCGACATAGTACAGGATTTCTTTGCTAGTGGGAGGTAGTAGATACCTTGTGGAATAGTCAAGGGGAAAAAAGTGAAGGTTGAATTTGTATGAAGTTTTATGAAGCAAGATGCTAAGATCGTCATAGTATGGTAGTACAGTATATTGTGATTAATGTTGAAAGAAAGTCACATTTATGGACTCTGACTTCCAAATCTTGATAGGGTGGGCATATGAGATGTAACCTCGAGGAACAGCTTTTGTTGGAAAACTCAAAATGCAAGTTAAATGGTCAAAGTTCCTTGGGGTGTGATTATGTTACCCGGGTACCCATAATTAGGATTCTCAATTTCACTCTTCATCCAAAAAAAAAAAGGGATTCTCAATTTCACATGTTATGACTAGAGTAGCTTATTGGAGCTTTAAGTATAGAAAGTACATTGCTAAATGGAACTGATAACAAAAAAAAAAAACAATTTAGTTGCTTTATTTTTCTTAATAGTCATGGTTGAAAGCATCGCAAAGTATTTTGGCAGAGAACCAAGAATTAGCAAGAGGTTGGTGCTGGGGTAACATGTAAGAAGGATGAAAGCTTAATGAACATTGGAATAATTCCTGATGCATCATACAAAAGCAGGGGCGGCTCAACCATACTAGGGGCCTAAAGCCAAAATTTAATGGAGGCCTTAAACTTAAAAAGAAAATCTTAATTTATGCGAAGTCTATTTCTTTTAGCATTGTGAGATGCAAAGTTACTTTTTGTTACAATCGATTTCTTCTAATTATTTTTCAATTGATAATATAGCTAATTCGTTTAATATTTCTTGAGATGTTTTTTTTGGTAATTAATTAGGCTTTTTATTAATTACCAAAGCAATTACAAATCATTAGCATAGCACACTCAGCCAGCTAATCTAAAAAAAGAAAAAGAAAACATAATCAAAGATCCCAGCTTTCCTATACAGCAGTGCTATGTGTAGATTAAGGAAGAAACTTAGAAAACTAGCTTTTGCACTAGGCATTTCAGCTCCCCAGCAACCCTGCAGCTACAAACACATGCTATCTCTTTTGCCACTCCTTCACAATCTCTGGCCACCCCTTCAAAAACTCTTGCACTCCTCTCCTTCCATATGGCATATATAACTTCAGCATATATCATCTTAATGAGTTTGGCCTTTGTTGTCTTTCCTTGTATACTTTTAACAATCTCTTGGAATTGTAGTTCCCATTTACTGCCACCATAGAGTTGTTGTTGCGCCCACTTGCTGACTCTGTTCCAAATTGCCTGAGCATATCTGCATTCAGCAAATAAATAGTTTCTTGTTTCATTGTGAGCTTGACACATTGCACATACAACTTGTACATTAAGGCCCTATCTCAGCAATCTATCCACTGTTAGAAGCTTGTCCTGACATTGCAGCCACATTGTGAATAAGGCTTTTGGTCTTGCAAAGTTCTGGAACATTAGTTTTCTCCACCTTACCTTTGGGTATTCTGGTATCAGTTGTAAGTATATTTGTTTAATGACACTCTTATGTTCAGCAATGGGTCTGCTCAGCTGCCCAATGGTATCTCTTGCCCCCAAAATTTCTCTAACCATCCAACTAGAGGTTTGTGTAATGGTCATAGTTCCCAAACTCTGATCCTTAGGCATGGATCCATTTTATCCAAAGTTTATCCTGCTTATGAGTCAAATCCCAGTGTGTCTTTGCAATCGCAGCATTGTTCCATACCTGGAGATTATGCAAGTTAAGCCCCCATGTAGACTTAGGCAGGCAGATCTTCTCCCAAGCAATAAGGGCCTTCTTTGTAATTGTATCACCCCCAGACCACAGGTAGCTTCTGCAATGGGCTTCAACTATTTGTATCACCTTAGCTGGTAAAGGGAAGAGTTGAGCCCAATAAGATTGGATCCCAAATAACACTGTTTGAATCAATTGAATTCTCCCAGCATATGATAGCTTCTTTGTAGTCCATGAAGAGATTTTAGCCACAATTTTTGCTATGAGGGGTTGCCACTGTATCATGGTGAGCTTCTTGAGATGTTGTTGCTCTTGGTGAGTCTAAACACTTTTAATTCAGAAAATAAGTCTAAATCGTCAATATTAGAGTGACTATTACGTTTTAAGAAATATTGAAGAACATACGCTTTAAATTATTTAAATCTATTATGAAGTGAACTTGGCTTGGTCTACTGCATAAAAGAAGTAACCAACCTTAAAAAAGAAATTCTTCAAGAGACTTTGTGATTATCAACATTCTCATCAATCTTTTTCTTTCTATAAATTACACCATTATTATCAAATCCGATTTCTTTATTTTAGTGGTGTAAAATAATTTATTTTTTTTGTTGAGCAACATAATACTCCCTCTGTTCCAGTTTATGTGAACCTATTTCCTTTTTGGTCCGTTCCAAAAAGAATGACCCATTTCTAAATTTGGAAACAATTTTGCTTAAACTTACAATTCTACCCTTAATGAGAAACTTTTATAACCACACAAATACTCTGGGCCCCTTTTTGAATTGCTTAGGACCACAAATTCCAAAAGTCTTCATTTGTTCTTAAACTCCGTGCCCACTCAAACAGGTTCACATAAATTGGAACGGAGGGAGTAAGTAATAAGAACCTTCAAATCAATTAATGTTGTTCAACAACAATAGTTGAGGCATTGGCATAAGAAATAACGGCATGAAAAATGAGAAAAGAACTTTTTTTACTTACGATGGTGTCTGCACTCCCCATCTTACACTGTTAATGATAAAATTCAGGTCTAAAGATTCTATACATGTAGAACTCTTTATGTTTATGTCTTTCTTAAAAAGTGGTGTTATTTGTACATCAGGCCCCTTTACAATTTTGAATTTAAGAAAATGACCTTTTTAGATCTCTTATGTTTAAAAGATAGATCTCTTACGTGTAAAAGTAAATTTTCCATGTGCAAAAAAAAAAAAAAGGTAGGGTCATAAAACTAAAAACAAATTTGTAAAGAGCCAAAAAACCAATTGACTTAAATTCATGTTCTCACTATTTAGGGAAAACAAAACTATAAGCCTATAACATATTTTTGCTAAAAATGGGGCCCCTCAAATTTGGGGGCCTAAAGCAGTGGCCTTACTGGCCGGCTTCACCTTAGAGCCGGCCTTGTACAAAAGGTTAAAATGTGTTGAAGAATTGCCGGATGCTCTAATATATATCAAGGGTTAGAAATAGCATTTAAAGCAATGTTGTTTTGAAATTCTGGACCAAGCAAAGGACTCCATTTATCAAGTTTGAGATTCTTTATGCCTGAAGTCTCGAAATTATAAAACCAGTAATCTTATGAATCTGTAATTGAATTATAAAGCCAAAACTTAAAGAGATTGAAATGGGATTAAATCAGAGTAGACTATTAAAGAAAAAATGAATTCTAACCTATTTACAAAACAATTGATTCTGAGCTGCACATAAAACTCACCATATTTTTGCTTTGCATCTGTTTGGACAGCACCATGGCCTAGTTACCCCGAGACATATGTTCATGGCTTTTGGTTGTACACTTTTCTTGTATTACTCTGCCTTACTTCTGTTTAAGAAAATAATATAAGCGAAAGCTTTAGTTTTTTGTTTTGAGTTTTCTCCCTTAGTATGTAAAATGAGAAGAAAAGAGGTAGCTTTAGTGCTCTGGGTTTAAGTCAAGCAGTTGACATTGTTCTAACTGTTATACGCATGTCTCAGAATCTAGTGTTGATTAATTGCTATTATATGATATAGTTCTTGTTTATTTCCTATTATTTCAGGTCTTATTCTTTGCATTTTTGCAGGTCATCGCGTAGTGTCAATACGTGAAGCGTGGGAACTTGCAAGAAGTCTCAATCTTGATTTGGTGGAGGTAAGAAGTGTCAATCATGAGCTTACTTACAGTTACAAGAGTGATACTACTGACAGAAACATACTAGGATAAACTAACACAAATGTCAAGTTAATGCTTATTATAACATGAAAACACAATGAGGGAAATAAACTTTCTCGCTGAAGATCTTTTCTGGTTCATAACCGGCAATAACAACAACAACAACAACCCAGTATATTCCCACAAGTGGGGTCTGGAAGGGTAGTGCGTACGCAGGCCTTGATAGGACAGTTGCCCTTTGTATCATTCTTCCCTTTCCTGACTGATTCTGTACTCTTCGTCTCACATCTTGTATTACTCAATTCTGCTCTCTTCATTTCACGTCATAGCAGCTCAATATGCAATTAAGCGGGGCTAACAGGAAAAGTCACAAAGAACTGACTTTTGTCAATCTGATGGATTTTATTTTGGTTTAGTTGTCAACTCATCTGCAACAGACACTAAAAACTCTAAGATGTGAAAATTCTTATTAATTCAATTCTGTTGCAATGTAGAGTGCCTGTGTACATAGGCCATGGTTGAAATGTTCTCAAATCTGGTCATGGACTGGATAAGATGATTGCTAAGAGAAAATTGAGTGAAAAGACGTCTAGTTTATAGAAAAACAAAGGTCTTTTGTTCGTTGAAAGAAGTGTATATAAACATTTTCTTGGCTTTCTTGCTACTAGGAGAAGATTATATTGAGAAGGATGTCTTATTTTTGCCACAAGCCCTTAAAAGTAGTTTTTCAACCAATTTTAAGTAATATAGATATGTGAAGATGAGGTGTGTGCATATCAAGTATGACATTTTTTGGTTAGTGAACTTAAGAAGTCAGGATAGGGAGGACTTACACCTACTTCCCTTACTGAAGTTTGTAAGCTTCTCCGTATATTCTGGCAAGACAAGAAAGCAAATGGGAAGAAGTGATAGGGAATTAATCATATTTTCATAATCTTCTTACTATACCAAATGGGAGGATAGTATCCAAAAAAAAAAAAAAA